AATGCCCGGCACCTCCCTAACGCAGGCATCAGCTGTATCCACGCACCCGCTTTCCATTGCCCCGGGCCACAAGCAAACTCAGAATAGCAGAACTTTTTTTTTTTTTTTTTTTTTTTATAGAAGGACTGTGGCAACCCTGGGATGCAGTCAAGTCAGAGAGAGCAGAACTTGAGGGTTCCTGAGTGCAGGCAGAGCGGGGGTTCAGCAGCCCCTCTGCCACTCAGCCTTGCCAGCCTCCCCGACCTCGGCCACAGAAGGCCTCTGCTCGGGTTGGGTGGCCTCTGGGAGGTCCAGGGTGGTAACTCCCAGCCAGGAAATTCCAGAGAGGGGAGACAACTTTCCCATTTTTCTCTCACGGAATTGAGTTTGGGGGTTGCTGGTGGGTAGGGCCAAGGTCAGGCACCTCCACCTCAACCAATCACCGGCTTTGCTGGAGCGCCTGGGGGACTTATCCCTCCACCCAGGAGAGAGGCTGGACACCATCATTTGGAAGTTTGCCAGAAGAAAAGCCTGGTGTTTTGGCAAGATGAGCGGGAGGAGGGCCTGGCCTCGGGGCCTGGCCCTGGCTGCCCATGTCTGGGACCCTGCAGGACACCGCCCAGCGGTCACCGCCTAGGGGTCACAGCCCAGCGGTCACAGCCCTCACCAGCAGCCTGATGTTATGATCAAGAAGTGCACTGGGGAGAAAATAACAGTAAGGGAGTAGGCCTGACTATGGGAATCAGCTAGATATTAACCAAGATGGCGCAGTGAAAAAATATCCTTAAAGTCCTCCACCCTCACTGACATTCAAGGTGGGAGCCTTGGATGTCATGGGATTTGGGCCAGTGCAGGTCTCCCCAAGCTGATCCCGGACACAAAGCATTAGAGACTTGTGGAAACTGCATTGCCTGAAAGAGTAAGGTTGTGAGGAGGAAACATGCAGAGCCAGAGGAAGGGGCTGAGTGAGAGGAGCAGCGGCCTGCTTGGCCCAGCCCGGCCACAGCCTTGTGAGCGCATGACCCAGCCCAGACAGGTGAAAAGCGGGGCGCTCACGATTTGTTAAGATTGCATGTTTGTGAAACTGGAGTAAAGGCATCCACTGCCTCAATTGTTCCTGAAGAGGAAGCAGCCAGGTGTCCCCGGCTCGCTGGCCGGCGTGTGCCAGGGACACCCAGGGGCAGGGATCTCTGAACACCCAGGATGCCTGTCTCCAGTCCTCCCTCTCTGCTCCTTTAAAAATTGTCCCTTTAAAAATTGCCCACTCACCATCTGTTAGGTAAATTTCCCGAAACACAGCGAACGTGGAGGCAGAGATTGTTATAGAGACTATTCCAAATGGCACTGACACCTATATTCATGACATTTCATAAAGAGTAGGTTAGAGTTGCTTTTTGCGGGGGAAAAGCCCCACTATAGTAATAGCACATCATCCCAGGTGCCAGCTCTATGTGATCATGTAAAATGAGAAGAGACACAGAGCATACACGTGGGCACTTATCAATGTGGCCCCAAAAGTTTGTGATTAATTGACACCTCAGTGACCAGAGGGACACATTTCCAGAAGCCTCGCATTCTGGGTTGTCATTTGCAAGTCTCCAAAAAGGTCAGCCTGACCACTTTTCCCGCCTAGTGGCTTCTGAGGAGGAAAAAACACGGACACGGACACCATTCAATCCACGACGGTAGCTCAGGCCACGCCAGCACACGCGAAGCATCGCGCACTCAGCCTCAGGAGGCAGCAAGAGAGATTTATACTCCGAGTGTTGCCCTCCAGTCAGTAGCAGAGGACCCTTGAATAAAACCACCCCTACTACTTCCCACTCTAATCTGTCTCACGTAGAGCCCATAAAACAGTGGTCAGGGGAGATTCTGCCTTTGCCACCCTATTACATAAGCTCTCCACTGTGAGCCACCCCTACTGTGATTCTTTTTTAAATATGTTACTCATAGTCAATATTCATTTACATTTAATCTTAGCATTAGGAGAGTATTATTCTGCACAGGCTCAGAAGCAAATCTCCAGAAATTCCTTCCTGCTGCTTCTTTGAGGCTGCAAATGCATTGCAGGGCGATTGCAGTGACTTAATTCTAGTTGGCAGAGCCCTGGCCACACACTAATTTCATTAGCCTCAAATTCCTGGATTTGAAAAGCCCACTGGCTGCGTGTGCCTCTTCTCATCTGACATCTCACTTTGCCCCGATCCGGCGTGTGTGCAGAGGGGCGCACGGACTCCTCAGCCCCGATCTTGGGTCAGGCACACCAGCAGGCAGGCGCCCCCCAAGTCACAGACACCATGGTCAGTCCTGTGCTGCCCGGGCCCTAGTTTCCAGAGAAGAGCTTCACTGCAGGCTGACCGGCAGCAGCACGGCTTGCATCGCGCACCGCCTGCCCCAGGGCTGAGCCCCCCGCCCCGGCACATCACTAAGCTTTCGCCCTTCCTGCAAGCACAGCTCACCGTAAATTTTCATCTCAAATGATAGGTTTGGCATCACCCCCACAGCCACCCACAGGGAGCGTGGAAAAGGAAACTCAAATCTCTGGAGAGCTAAGCAGTCAATCATCTGGAGGAGCTGCGCTTATATAGGACAATCTTAATTGAGCTGAACCCCGTGATCCCGGAAGACGCCCCTCCTGTTCTTCCTCGCTCGCTCCCGAAATTGATGGTGCCTTTCACCAGCGGGGCCACGGACCACTGCTGCCTCCCTTCACTTTGCAGCCTCCCCTCCCGGAGGCTGGCGAGCCGGGAATCGGGCTTGCCCGCCAGGAATGTCTAAGGCCCCGGGAGAAAAAGCACCGCTGGAAGGGACGGGCAGGGCCAGGGCTGCATGTCCGGCGGGGCCACGGTGACCAGCGCCCGCGCCGATGCTCCAGCTAGCTTGCAGCGTCAGCCACAAGTTGGCACATCCCTCCTCCTACCGGCCTCTTCTCAATAAATGCAGGTGAACGCCGGGCCCCCGACTCCCTCAGCTGTTCACGCCAACATGAATAGCTGCAATTTGCAAATTAGAGGCAAATGACAGTGTTTTCTCTGAATGGTTCTGGTCCCAACCCACACTGCTGCCACTGGCATTCGGATCCTCTCCTTCCCAGCCCTGGGGAGCGGCTCCTTCCTCACCAGGCCTCAGGCTCACACCCCGGAGAGGGTCAGTCCCCCTGGAGGCTCTCAGCATGCCCAGCCCTTCCCAAGGCTGCCAACCTCCCCCGACATGGAACACTGCACCCTTTCAGACAGCCAGGCCCTCTGCAGTGCTCCCAGCCTTGGAGCCAGAGACAAAAGGCAGCAAAATCATTTCAAAGGAGCTTCCACCCCAGGGCTCTGGGAAAGGCAGTGAGTGGCTGAAGGGGTTCTTGGGTACTCTGTGACCCCCACTTCTCCCTCAGCAGCGGGGCTCCTGGGTAGCCTGGCTTTCAGCTCAGAGAAGGAGGAAGCCCTTCTGGGTTTTCCTTGCAATAGCCAAGGCTCTCCTGCAAGCAGCAACTCAGAGCGAAGCCACCTCTGGGTTTGCAAACATCTGGGCTCTTCAGGATGGTATAAGCAGGCGCTGCCGGACGCCCAGAGGCCAGCCTGCACCTTGAACCTGCACCCCTGCTTCGGACGCCCCTGCTTCTGGCGCCAACACAAACTGCACACTCCCAGAAGCTGAGGTGTCCACAGCCCGAATCTCAGAAGTCCCCCCAGAAAGCCAACACCCTTAGGGAAAGCATCTGAGAGGAAGTCAGTTCTGTCAACACAGAGCACAGAAGGCCCCCGAGTGCGCTGGGACCTCTGGAGAAGGGGTGACCGGGTCTGGGTACACCTGATGCCAGCATCCTCGGGAGATGGGGACAGACCAAAAACTTGGGGGTGGGAATGGAGAGAGGCGGGCGCTGGGAGTGAGGGGGAAAAAAAACCAGGATGGAGAAAGAGACAGGACAGAAAATGCATGCCCCTGGAGAAACAAGAAGGGCGCCCCCAGTCACACAGACCCCGAAGCTCGCTGTCTGAACCCCAGAGCCACGCGTGTGGAGCCGGCCGGGCGCAGCGCCGCGGGCAGCTCTGCAGTGAAGCCCCGCTCGGCCCCGATCCGCCGGCTCCCGGGGCGCTGCGCCCCCCGCCCTGGGCGTCGGGAGCCAGAGCGCCCCGGCCTCGCCCGGCCCAGCCCCTGCCGCCCCCGGGGGCCGCGCCGGCCGCGGGCAGCGTCCTCGGGGCAGGCGGCGACCGGGGCCGCGTGGGGAGGTCGGGGGGCCGGGGGCGCGGAGGGGGGAGGCGGAGAGCGAGTCGGTCTCCAGCAGCATGAGCTCATCCCGGCTCGCGCGGCGGAGCGGGGCGCGGGGCGCGGGGAGCGCGGAGAGGGAGCCCCGCTCCTGCCCGCGGCCGGACTGCAAATGCCTTTCTGGCGGCGCCGACAGCTGCCCCGGGCCAAGCACCCGCGGGGCAGGTCTGCGCTCCCGCCCGGGGGCCCCCGCGCCCGCCCCCCTGGCCCCCGCGGGGCCGGGCTACAGGTCGGGGTCCGCCCGGGGAGGGCAGCGCCGCGCGCGCCCCCCGCGCAGGTGAGGACCCGGCGCCCGCGTCTTCTGGACACTCTCCCGGGGCTGCGGCGGGCCGGGCCGGGCCGGGGGCGGGCGCTGCCCAGTTTCCAGGCGTCTTCTCCTCGGAGCTTCTCCTTCCACGCGCCCCGCGGCTCTCCCGGGAGGCGCCCGGCACTTCTACCAGCCCGTCTCGGACCATATTTCACTCTAACGCGAGCCCATTTAAATCATCGCCTTGTTTTTCGCAGATTGCTTCTTGTAAATGGGGCCATAAATCCAGAACGTCAAGCCGGAGGGAGCGGCGCGCGCAGAGGAGCGCGGTGGAGGGGAAACGAGCCGCGCGGGGACGGCGGTGCCTCCTCGGGGCGCGGAGCCCGGGCTCTCCCGGTGGACGCGCCAGGCGGCCCTGACCCGCAGCCCCCGCGCGCCCGCCTGGCCCGGCCGGCGCTGCGCCCCGAGCGCGCGGGGAGCCGCGGCGCGCTCTGCCCCGGAGGGAGCGCCCCCCTACCTGGAAAAGCCTCAAGATGTTGGCCACCATGATGGAGACCGAACTCCCCGAAGCCCCAATCACTCCAACTACTTTCTCGGGCTTGACGAACACGGGCGGCTCGCCGTTGGTGCAGCGCACGTCGGAGGTGTCCTTCTGGATGAGCGCCTGCACGAAAGTGAGCGACTGCTCGAGCGCGTAAGTGTCCCTGGAACAAGTGTCCAGGATCCGCGCGCCCAGCGTCACGTTGGGCAGCAGGTTGGGATCGCTGTTGATCTGGTCCAGGGCGTAGAGCATCGCCTCCAGCCTGTGGATCCCGTTCTCCCTCTTGATGTCGCCGCAGGGCACGCCGCTGGGCCCCTTGGCGTGCACCGGGAAGAGCCCCCCGAGGGTGACGTCCCCCTCGATCCGGATCGAGTGCGGGGCGTACATCTCCTGGCCGCGCGCCGCCGCCGCCAGCGCGCACAGGAGCACCTCGAGCACGCAGCAGGGGAACTTCATCAAAGTCAGGGCGCGGAGCAGCCTCCCCAGCTGGACCATGCTGCCCGGGCTGCGGCGGCGGCGCGGCGGGGCACGGCGGCGGGCGCGCGGGGGTCCGGGCCCCCGGGGGCGCGCGGCTCCGGGGCGGCCCGGGGGCTCCGGCGGGCTCGGCGGGCGGGGGCGCCCGGGGAGGGGCGGCCGGCGAGGGTGGGGGGTCCCGCGGCGCCGGCCGGCTGGGGCGCCGTGCGCTCTCGGGGTCGCCGGCCCGCGCGCCGCGCTGCGCTCCTCGGCCGGCCGCCCGCGCGCGCCACAGCCCGGCACTGGGGAGAGGGCGCGGATCGCTATCGCTTTAAATGGTCGCTCGCTCCCTCTCCAACGCCTCCCACTCCCGCCTCCCGCCGGCGGAGCTCGTCTCTCCCCACCCAGCTCCGCGGCGCGCCTCCCCCCGGTTTGCATCATCACGCAGGGAGGGGCTGCGTGCCGGGGGGGCGCGGGGGGCGCGGGCGGCGGGGCTCTGCCTCCGCCGGGGAGTTTCGCGGCCCCCGGGGAATCTGGGGATCGCGGGGCGCCGGCGAGGGCTGCGCGCCTGCCCCCAGCTCACCCGGGCGCCGCCGGCGCGCCCGCCGCACCCGCTGCGCCCACGCGCGCCGGCTCGGGGCCCCGGGCGGGACGCGGCGCGGAGGTCGGGGCGCGCGGCCCCCCACCCGCAGGTCCCGAGCCCCCGCCGTCTGCCGGGGGGAGCGCGCGGGGTCGCGAGGGGGGATGGCAGCGGCGCCCAGAGCGGGGGAGCCCCCTGCGCCCCCTCTGCGCCCCCTTTTCCTAAGCAGACGCAGCCCCCGCCGGAGCGCGCATCTGACTCGGAGACCCCCGCCCAGGGGCTTCTGTGGGGCGGCAGGGCCGGCCGGGGACACGCAGGACGCCGCGCGGTTAGGAAGGGACGCGCACCCCGGGTTTTCTGGGGTGGCCGGGGCCGGGGCCTGAGGAAGCGGCCGCGATCCCCAGCAAATCCGCGGCGAATCCTCGGACTCGCCCCCTTCTCCGGGGCTCCCTCCAGCCGAGGCGGAGCCGCGCGCGGACCCGCGGAGCGCACGGGCTCCCCGCGCCGGCAGCGCCGCTCCCGCCCGGTCTCCTGGGGCGCGGGGCTCCGCGGGGACCGCCTGGGGAGGCCACGGTAGGACCCGCGCGGGGCGGGCGGCTGCTGTTCTTCCCCTGGAGGCGGCTTTGGGGGCGGGATCCAGAGGCCGAGCAGGTGCGGCGCGATTTGGAGGCTGTTTTGTGCGGAGGCCGCTCCGCCGGGGCCTTGGGAGCAACAAGTGCGGTTCCCACGGAGGGGGGGCGCTGTCCGGGGGCCCGGGGGGGGGGGGCGCGGAGGAGGCTGACAGCGCCCCGGGGTTTCCGCTGGAGGCCCAGGGCTGTAGCCCACAGACGGGAGGCCAAGGGAAAAGCAGAACAAGTCTCAGTTTGTCCTTAATGTGCCCCAAACCACCACACCCCAGAAGTCTGGAGGCCAGCGGCGGGCTGTCTGGGTGTCTCTGGGTTCCGCGTCCCCCAGGGGGGCCGTGAGCCAGCACCAGCTGCTCCCCAAGGCCCCTGGCCTTGCAAGGCTCTGCCTGTCCCCTTGGCCACCTCGGTCCTTTACGACCCGTGTCCTCTGTGCGTCCAGGTGGACAGTGTGCTGCTCTCCAAAGACCATGACGCGCATTTCCTGGTGGAGAGGGCCTTTTTCCCTCTGTCTTGCTCACTGTTCATTCCTCCTCCTTGTAGGGGGAGTTTGTCAACCACCCCATCTCTTCTCCCCATTTCAGGACCTCAGGTTTGAGGGGAGCAGGCCCCACTCCCTGGGATAGTCCAGGCCTGGCTGCTGAGAGCAGGGATGAGTTCCGGGAGGGGCAGAGGCCGGGATCCTGCTGCAGATCCCGGGAGTAGCAGCCAAGACCCAGGGCACAGTCCTTGGGAGGTTCCTCTCTTGGGAGGGTCCCTCCATGCAGCCCGCAGCTGTGCCCGGGGCTTCCTCAAGACCAGGGAGATGCTGGGACCCTGGAATAAAAGGTGCAAGAGGGGGAAAGAGAGAAAGAGGGGCCTGATGAAAGCGTGTGGAGGCCTCGCCCCAGAAGCGCCGGAAAGGTTGCTGGTGGACTTCTCTCAATTAGACGGTATTTTCTTTCTGGGGTTTTGAAGCCAGGAGGTCTCCTCTCACTCCCCTGTGCCACACTAGATCCGGAAGGGACGGCTGGGGGAGATCTGCCCCGGTGAGGGACGTGGCTAACCGGGAAAGGCACAGGTGCAGCACTGGGGTTCCATGATCAATACGGCAGGTCTGGGCTGCCTCCTTAGTTTTTAATGTAAGGCTATTTATTAGAAATTCAGTCACAAAACCAGCGAGTTGGGTAATAAGTAACGTGACTGGGTGTTTCATCGGCCCCCCATTCCGCACCCCCTATTCACTTGGCTCCCGGGATTGTCCCCCTGGCTGAAGGTCCACGCTCTGCTTACTCTCCCTGAATGTGGTGGTGGCAGGGCCTTCTCTTCACGCTGGGGGCACGGGCACGCCTTGTAGGCTGTAGGGGCCTTGCGGGGAAGCCCGGGCATTGCAGATCTCTCCTCGGACGACACTGATTGTGATGTCCGGTGCCCCGGAAGCAGTGGGGTGTTGACTGAATCGGCTGGCTTTGCCACCCTCCATGCCTGCGTGTGACCGCGACGGCAGAGAAGATGGCAGATGCTGTCCTCCCAGTCATGGCGCACGGTCTGTAGAACTCAAGGGCTCATTGGTGGGTTTGGAAATCATTTTGCTTTACAAAAACTGCATGCGACGAAATTCTCCAACCTTGAAGCTCCTGGTCATTTCTCAGGGAAGTCTGTGACGGTCCTTCCCAGTCACGTGCTCCTCCCTGCACCAATACTGCCCATTTGCCACAGGCCGGTGGGGGAGACCGGATGCCAGGGGCAGCAGCATCTGGCCCAAACTGGCACCAGAGAGACAGGAAAGGGATGCCCACTTGTAAAATCAACAGACACCCAGCACAGGTGGCACCTCGCTCATCTGCATGTGCAACCGCGCCGCGCAGGGTCTGAACCTGGTGGTGACCGAGTGGCTTGGTTTTTTGTTTGTTTTGAGATTCTACGAATAGGAAAATCTTTGTGTAACATCAGTTCACCTTAAACTGGGCCAGTACAGTTCTAGGGTCAGATTTAAATGAACTAGATTTAATCTAGCTGGAGGTACAAAGATTGCATTATAAAATGTGTTTACAGACGTGGTTCTCTTCAGTAATGGATCTGGATTCAGTTAAGGATAAAGTTAAGGTCTCAGTGCGAATTTATCATCTTAGTGTTTTCTTAATCGTATCGGTTTTATTTTCTCTCGTGTTCTCCCCTGCCCATCATCTTCTGCAGAACATGTCTCTACATTCAATTTTCTCTCTATTTCAATCCAGCATGTAACTCACAAAATTGTTGCCCTTCACCACTGTTGCCCCCGTCACTGCTGCTAATGTGCTGACTTTTTAATCCACCTCTCAGGTGCATCCTCGTGAGTACACGTGTGACTCTTTTTAAAATCTACACGCTTCCACTTGCATTGAACTTCTAAGCGGAGGTGACTTTGGTTGAGGTGACGGGAGGGGGTTGGAAGACATTCTGTGTAACTTACCCAGCATTAATTTCCTGATCCCGTGTCCTGCTGCCCACTCTGTCTCTGGTACATACTCTCACCACCTCACCCACTGCCCGCCCTGCACCTCTGGCCTGCACCCCATCTTCTACTTGAAAATAAATAAAATCTTTAAAGAAGAGTCCTGATGAGGTCCTCTGAGATCCTGGATCCAGCAATGCCTGAAGCTGAAATCCTTTGAGCCTTCTTTTCTTACCACACAATCTATCCCATTCTCTCTTAAGCTCCTGACTCATTTGAGTTGGGTCTTTCAAAATTGAGTGCGCTAATTTAGATTGTTACTGCTTACAGGGAGCAGATAATTAAAAGGAAAAATACTTACTGGTTCTTAGAGTCCCATGAAAATTACAGAAAATTTAGAACTCTTATCACATGAGGTTCAGCATTCTTTGAGTTAGTTCTCGACATGAGTCCAGGTCTTAAGGATACAATATCATGCTCTAAACTCTTAAAACTGATGGTTTTGCAAGTTGTCTTAAAGACGCAATTTAGGTCCTCCCCAGTGGCGCAGCAGTTGAGCACAGGGTTGCGAAGCTGCCCGCGGCCTCTGCGGCGCCGGTTCAATCCCCAGCTGCTCCCCGGCCACCGGAGGAGGGTCCCGCATGGCGCGCAGACCTCTCCTGCCGCCCGCTGCTCCCCTCAGCAGTGTCCTTCGGTCCTTCTGCCTGCTCTGCTCCCTGCTCTGGCTCTGGTGAATTCTCTCACCCTCCCGCGCTTCTGACTGTACCCAGTGCTTGTATAAATAAATAAATAAATAAATAAATAAATAAATAAATAAATAAATAAATAAATAAATCTTTTAAAAAAAGACGCAATTTATATTCATCTCATCTTAAGAAATGCAGCAATAGTATAGGTTTTGTATACATGCATTATATAGAGATGGTGAGATAATTTCCATTCTAAAGCTACAAGTGATTGTAAAGCAGTGTTGTTTGCTTTTTTATTTGGAAGAATAACGCCCTGTGTTCTTGAGACCTGCTTATCCTTGGGCAATGGACATTTGACCCTGCTGGTTGAATGGCATGAATTTCTTGACTCAGCCAAGGTTTATTCTGTTCATTTGCTACCTTCTATCTCTTCGGCACTAGAATAGGAAGTTCACAAGCAGTGACTCATTTAATCTTTGCATGAAACCTGTAAAAGAGTTACTATTATCGTCACTCTAATCTTGCACAGGAAATAATTATAACAGCTCACTCTTATCTGGCACTTAACTATGCCCCTAGTGCTGCTCAGATGGTTTACATATGTTGATTTATTTATTTCTCTGAATAAATGATGATTTATTCAGTGCCCACTACATATAGGTAGGTGTTATCATCATCATCTCTCATCTTCAGATGAAGACATTGAGTAGGAAGAAGAGACTTGCCAAGGACAGAGACGTAGGAAGCACCAGCGCCCAAATGCGAAGCCCAGAAATCTACCTTCAAAGTCTACCCTTGGGTCACTGCCACCCAGGTCAGGGGGACAGAGTGCACACCCAGCACAGTACTTTCAACTATTATATTCCATTGCCTGTTATTAGTAGACAGCTAGCCTGATCAGTAAGGTGTTTCCAGAATCATCTCTCCTATGGGAAGGACATCCAGTAACCACAGGTTCTGACTTGTCCAATTCCACGCACCTGTGAACAGTCCACACAA